TGGTGGAAGTCTCCCATGGCATTGGGCTCTGTTTTTGGCCCTGTGTCCACCCCCCCCCTCAAATTTACAAAATATTCATAGCTTTTCTATATTAACCAACTGTTAAACCTTTCCCACAGACGCACTCACACTTTTATTATTATTATTATTTTTTGAATCCTCACCCGAGGACATTTTTCCATCTTTTTGTTCAGGTAGAGTGGGAGGGAGAGAGAGGAACAGAGAGAGAGAGAGAAACATCGACGTGAAAGGAACACATCGAGTGGCTGCCACCCGCACAACCGACCAGGGCCGGGGACAAACTGCAACCGAGGTACATGCCCTTAGCGGGAACCGAACCCGGGTCTCTCAGGACCGCAGGCCGATGCTCTAACCGCTGAGCCAAACCGGCCAGGGCCGCACTCACACTTTATAAACACACACACACACGTTTCTGTGGAATCCTTTGAAAGTAAGTTGCAGACATCACAACACTTTGCCTCTGAGAACCTCAGCAGACATATTCAGAGGGGAGGGCAGGGACATTCTCCTGCAACCACAGTATCGTCACCATACCGAAAACATGCCCAGTAACACCAGCATCTCCTCTCCTATGTGGTGCACGTGAAAACTTCCCCAGTTGCTCTATAGCTTTTTCCCCCTGGGTTCAAATCAAGGTTCATGTGTTGCATTTGATTATCGGCTCTTCAGTTTCTTGACCTAAAACAGCCCCCCTGCCTTTTTTTGCCTTTCATTAGATGGACCTTTTTGAAGAGTGCAGGCCAGTTGTGTGCAGCATGCTGGGTGCATCTGACTGTGTTCTCATTATTAGATCTGGGTTAAATACTTTTGACGAGAATGCAACAAGGATCGACTATGTTGTGTATTTCCTTATTGCATCACATCAGGATGTAAATGATGTCAGGAAGTCCCATTACTGGTGATGCTACTGTCTTTTTTTTTTTTTTTTTTTCTTTTTAATCAATTTTTAGAGAGAGAAAGAAGCACTGATTTGTTGTTCCACTTATTTATGCATTCATTCGTTGCTTCTTGTATATGCCCTGACCAGGGTTCGAACCCACAACCTTGGTGTATCAGGACGATGCTCTAACCAACTGAGCTACCTGGCCAGGGCCTGCTGATGCTGCTTTCAATTGCTTGGTTAAGATGGTGACAGCCAGAGCTCTCCCTTGGAGATACATTTTCTATCTGGTAATTACTAAGTCATCTGTGGGATAGACTTTGACACCTTGTTAATGCATAGTTTCCTAACAACTTTCCACCCAGTGGTTTAGCATCCAGTGATGATCCTTGTTTGAGTCTAGATTTTCCAATTCTATCATTTCTTCTACATTCATCATCAGCCAACATTTTTCTGTACAAGAAAGTTTCCTTTCTATCCCTTCTCTTTCTCTGTGTTTCTCTGAATGTCACCGTGGACTGATGGATTGCTTTTCATTTCATGCATTAGAATCCATTATTTCATTATGCCAGTTTGGTCCTCAAGCTGACCCTATCTGTCCTTTTGTTGTGATCCCATTAGTCTTTAACCAGTTCCTCGCTTTCTGTTCCAACAAAATGTCTAGGCTCACCTTTTACTTTCCCTTTCATTTCCAGAGTCCTGGTACCTCTTACTGGACAGTGATAGTTAGAAACCAAGAACTGGGTGCTAGGTGTGTTCACTGAATATTTTTATCAATGACTTGAAAAAAGGCATAAGGAATGCTTATCAAATTTAATGACTCAGAATTGGGAAGGGAAGCAAAATGTATGATAACAGAATCAATATATTCAGAATGAACTCAAGATGATGAAATCTGGACCAGGACCAATAGATTTAAAAGAGATCAATAGGAAGTGCCGTGCTTAAGTTGAAGAAAGATAATTGCATAATTTCAGGTTTGGGGGGAACTCTTTATGGGACCAAAGGGGATATCAAAAAGTAGCTCTGATTGTTGGTTGACAAGAGCTAGCAGCACTCCTTGGTCCTTAGGTTGAATCCATTCATTCATTCAGCCAATACTTCTTGAGGGCCTATCACATGCCAGGCATTTTTCTAGGAGCTTGGGTTAACTAATAAGAAGATAAGCAAAAATCCCTGCCCTCCTCAGTCAGCAATTTGGGGACGGAGGGGCAGGTGGGGAGTTCAGACAATAAATAAAAGCCGCAACAAATAAGCAAATCACATAGTATGTTAGAAGGTGATGAATGCTGGGGGTGGGGGGCGGGGCTCAGGGTAAGGGGAATATTGGGGAAAGTTCAGATTCTTCAAAAAGGTGATCGTTGAGCAAAGACCCAATCTTGTGGCTATCGGGAGAGAAGCCTCCAGGCGGAGGGAGTAGCCGGGGCAAAGGTCCCGAAGAGAGCGTGTGAGTGATCCTGGGGTAGAGCCAGAGGACAGTGGCCATGGGGGTGAGGAGAACCCAGGGTAAGGTCTTTGGTTTTTCTGCTGAGTGAGACGGGGAGCTGGCAGAGGCTCCTGAGTGCCATGACCCCGCTGATTCTGAAAGGCTCACTCTGGCTGCTGAGGCGAGAACAAACGTGAGAGCAGGGGACCCTGCTGTCATCAGGAGAAAGAGGATGGTGGTGAGTAGTCAGCCTACGGATTTGCTAGTGGAGAGAGAGAGAAAGGGGAAGGAGTTTGGCCCTGGCCAGTGTGGCTCAGTTGGTTGAGCGACATTCTGTGCACAGAGACGTTGCTGGTTTGATTCTTTGTCAGGGGCCCATGCAGGTTTCGGGCTCTATCCCCAGTGGGGGGCATACAGGAGGCAGCCTGTTGAGGTTTTTCTCTCTCTCTCTCTCTTCCTCCCTCCCTCTTCAACAAAAACATTTTTTTTTTTTTTTTTATCCTCACCTGAGGACATTTTTCTATTTTTTGTTCAGGTAGAGTGGGAGGGGGAGAGAGGAAGAGAGAGAGAAACATCGATGTGAAAGGGACACATCGAGTGGCTGCCACCCGCACGACCAACCAGGGCCGGGGACAAACTTCAACCTTAGCGGGAACCGAACCCGGGTCTCTTGGGACCGCAGGCCGACGCTCTAACCGCTGAGCCAAACCGGCCAGGGCAACAAAAACACTTTTTAAAAAGTAAAAGAAAGGAGTTAGGTTTTTCACTTGAGCAACTTAAAGATGGACTTGCTATTAAGCGAGACGCCGAAGGCTCACACAGGTGGAGCACATTTTGGGGAGGGAGAGGAAGAGATGAGGAACTCAGTTTGGGACAGGCTGGATTTGAGATGCCTGTCAGACAAGACAGCCAGTGACAACGTGGAGGCCATTTGGAGTTCAGGGCAGAGATGGTGGTGGCTGCAGATAGCAGCTCAGGCATCGGTGGCTGAAGGTGGATTGATGGCACTGACAGAGGCGGTGACCAAGGCCTGGGCTAGGCTAGAACTGGGATGCTTGGTGCGGCCCACATCCCATGTGCAGTTCTGTGTCCAATGCTGGGAGACCCTTTATTTTTATTTGTGTGTGTGTGTTTTTTTCCTTTTTTCTTGGGAGCCCCTTTAAAACAGGTGCTGCTAGCGTAGTCCTCGCCCATAGATGGGTGACAGGATGGTGGAGGTACAGAGGTCATGGGACATGGGAAACTTGGCTGCAAGAGAGGAGACCTGGGACCATGTGAGCGCTGTGCCCATCCTGACAGCCACCATGGGGCAGAAGTCGCGGCAGGCCCTGGGGGTGGGGTGAGAGCAAAAGGTATTGGCTCGGAGGAAGCTCATTTTGGCTGGGGGTAAAGAGGAACTTTCCCAGGACTGCAGCTCATTCCTGGGGAAACTGTCCCACTGCCATGGAAATGACTAGCGAGGTTTTGAAACTACTTTCGACTGGAACTACAGGAAGAATCGCATTTTACTGTGGTCCTGTGCCCTCGGGAAGAGTTGCAACACATTTCCCAAAGCTTCCTTTTCCTTTTTTTTTTTTTTTAATTTTAATTTCTTATTGATTTTTGAGAGAGAGAGGAAGGGAGGGAGAGAAACATCCACAAGGTAAAAACATCCATCAGCTGCCTCCTGCACGCCCCCCACTGGGGATGGTAGCCTGAAACCGGGGTGTGTGCTTTCATGGGGAATCAAACGGGGATCTCTCCGTGCGTGGAAGGAAGCTCAGTCCAAACCCACTGAGCCACATCAGCAGGGTACTTTTCCTTTTGACGATCATTGCACTTTGATACTTCTACTGTTTCTCTTTCTTTTTTTAATGCGGATAGGGAGCCACTGAATTGATTTCAGGACCTGCCAAGAGGTTCAGGTTGCAGTTAGAAATCCCTGATGTCAGCAGGGCTGACCTCCAACCTTGGGGATGTCACGAACCAGGAGGACTGGGGGTGAACGCACCGGGCCTCGAAGTGGGTGCCTCGGGGACCCCTCCAGCCTTGGGGAGTGCTGTCCCCTGCCCGGCCACGTGCAGGTCGGGGAGAAGGTCTCACCTCCTCGGCTGTTTATTAAATCCGATGATTCCACGTAAGCTAATCCTGCCCCACTCCGCCCACCCGAGGTTTGGCTTCGTGCGTGGACGCCCCGCAGCGCGCGGGACTCGGTGGTGGGCCTGCAGGGAACGCAGCCAAGACCCCCGGCGGACTGCCCCGTGCAGAGCTCGGCTCAGTTCCTCTGGTCACGGACAAGTGGGTGCCAGGAGCATTCGTGGGGAAGGCGGGGATCCAGGGCCCCGGCACCCAGCAGGCGCGCAGTGGAGAAACCACGCGTTTTCCCAAGCGTCCCGCTGGCTCGCAGGGGGTCGCAGAGCCCAGGCGAGGGGGCCTGCAGGTGGGGGCGGCTCCCCGGTCGTGGCCTCGCCGGGCCGCTCCCAGCTGGCGCCCCTGGTGCCGGCGCCCCGGAAGGGGGAAGGGGCAGGGCGGGCGGGGCGCGGGCGAGCCGGGAGAGGCAGGACGCGCGTCCACTTCCTCCTCCGGCGCCGCCCTCGCCGGCGAGCCTCCTCCGCGCTGGGCCGGCGGGACCGCGCTGCGGGGGGCTGAGGGGCGCGTTCTCGGCGGCCACGTGACCCGTACCCCAACCCCTAGGTCCAGGGGCGGGGCCGCTGCCCGCGAGTCCAGTGGAGCCACCTGAGCCGGAGCGGGGAGGACGCGATGGCTGGGGGGACCCGGCCGCCGTCGCCGCTGCTGCTGCTGCTGCTCCTGCTGCCGCCGCCTGCGATTTGGGGGCTCGTCCCCCGGATCAGCCTGCCGCTGGGTGAGTAGGGGGCGACCCCGCGGGGCGCGGGCCCGGGGAGGGGGGCGGCCCGAAGTGCCTCGTGCAGAGGTTGCTGTGACAAAGGAGGCAGGGGGCCCGCTGGAGGCGTAGGGTTCACTGCGACCCCTCCTCCTTTCTAAGCACTACGCGGAGGGAGGGGGAGCGGGGGGAACTGTGCGGCCGCGGGCCCCTTTCTTCCATTCTTTTAATGCGGGGGAGGGGGTCCTTGTCCGCTCTGTTGCCCCGCTCGCCTCCTGTAGGGTGCCCTTTCGGCTGTGGCACCCCCTCACCGCACCCCACCCCTAGTGCTAGTTACCCGCTGGTCTGCCCGCCCATCTACTTGTCTTTGATGCTGACCAGAGCCAGCCGCGGTGCCGCCCCCAGGGCTGCGCAGGGCGGAGGGGGCCCATGCTTGCCGTAAACACTTGGGTTTGGTATCCCAGCAAGTTACAGGACTCAGGAGCTGGGCCGGCGCCCCATCCTTCACCCTAGTGGACATGGTGGGAAGCCCCCAGGACCTGAGAGCAACCATACTAGGGATGGGGGCAGTCTGGGCATGGAGACTCCCAGGCCCTGGAAACCAAGAAGGTCCTGGGAGGGACCTGGATTCTAAACCCATTTCTCCTACTCAGCAAGTCCCTTCTCTCTGAGTCCCTGTTTGCTCATCTGCAAAATGGGCACAGACACAGGTACCTACCTTGCAAGCCTTTGTTGGAGAGTTCGTGAAACTAGGCGTTTTGTGTGGGCAATATATCTATGGGTGCCCAGTGGATGTTGTTTCTCTGAGCCCTTCAACTTGCTGGTTGTCACACTGTGCGAATTAGAATAAAGGAGACTGTACCCGACTCCCTTTTCTTCAGCAATCCCACCCCTAAAAGCATTCTTTTACAAAAGGAAGGAGTAGCAGAATGAGCACTCAAACGAATCTAGTGGCCCTGAGTAATCCTATCTGAAACATGGCCCAGTCGTGCTGAGAAGGTGGCCTGGCTCAGAACCTGCCTCAGCCACTTAGTAACCATGTGACCTTGTGCAAGCCGCCCAACCTCTCTGGGCCTTGATTTCCTCATCTGTAAAATAGGGATAATACTAGCACTTGCCTCAAGGTTGTGAGGAGCAAATCCAGTTTATGTTTGGAGAGTTCTCAGGACCAGGCTTGGCAACATAGAAATCGCCCGGTCAGTGTTAGTTGTCGTTATTGTTGTGTTAAGCCCAGGCTCCATTCTGGCATGTCCTGCACAGAGTTGGGGTGATTCTACCTGGGGTCGGGGCGGCGCTGGCGTGTCGGTTTGACCCCAGCCCCTTGGGTGCTCCGGCTGGTTGAGTGAGGGTAAATGTGTATCCAGACCCAGGCCTGCCTCCTTGCTATTTTTCTGTTGTGACCACAGCTCCCTTCTGCACTCAAATTCTCTCAGCTCTGGGAGCAGGTGAGGTGAGGTGGGAACACATGCTCGAGGGACTCCACTGATGGCCCTGGGAAAGCTGGGCCAGCCCAAGGGGCATGTCAGATGCACCAGGTCTTGTGTCCAGCCCTGAACTGGATGGGACCGCTCACAGGGGGACTAAATTGGAGAGCGGTGAGACAGAGCCGAGAGAACAGCTAGACTACTTTGTGATTGTTACCCACACGGCTCCAATGCCTGGCCCATTTCTTCACATTTGTGACCGTTGCCAGACCATAGTACAGCTTCTGTCACACACCAGCACCCCCTGCACAGGTCATTTGGTGCCCCGGTCTGGATGTCTGTGTCGTTCCAAAATTCATATGTTGGATTCACCTGTGAGAATCCCCCAAGGTGACACACATTTTGTGCACTGCTGAGGGGTTGGACTTCAGTCCACACTCTGCTCTCTAAGCTGTGGGCCCTGGAGGAAAAAGACCCTCTACTGTGGCCTTGAGGCCGGGTCTGCCCAGAGGGGACTTCTTTTTCTAGTCCCAGCAAAACCCTGGCATAGTTTAGCAGCCCCCTGGCACCTGAACGTGGGAGCTGAGCACAAATCCACGCTCTACTGAGCTGCACCGCAGCCCAGAGTGCCTGCCTCACCGGGCTTCCTCCTGGCTACATGGTGCCCCAGAGGGGAATTCTCCGGTGACTGACCAGGCTCACCTTCCCAGCGTGGCCTGAGGCAGCTTCCTGCCTCATCCCTGGGGGCTCATTAGATGTTCCTGGCAGCCTGCCCATCCTGGGCAGGCCTGTGGTGGCCATGGGACACTGGGCACGAGGCCCCAGGGCCCCTTCCTCACAGAACAGGGAGAGAAGCGTGAAACTAGAGCCCACATCCCCGTCCCTGCCACCCTCCCCCTGAATTCCCACCCAAGTCCCCCAAGGGCCTGGATGCCTAGAGACAGTGGGCCGAGTCTGTGGTTTAAAACAAACCCCTGGAAGGAACATCCTTCCTCGGGAACCCTCATTACTGTCCATCAGGTTCCTGGTGCCCCACTTGTGGCCGGGGTGCGGGGGAAAGGAGGGAACTGGGGGCTCCAGGCCAGCAGAGCAAGCTGAGCCCTGCAGAGGAAGCGACTTGTCTCTGTGAAAGAGACGCCTTCAGGGAAGCGTGTGGAATTGGGTTCTTTTGCTTAGGAAGCTGGGAGGCCAGGACCAGGGGGTGTCAGGAGCAGGAGAGATGCTCTGTAGAACCAATGGCCTGGGTGTGTGAGCTGTGAGGGGTGCCTCCTAGCCTGGCCATGTGGGAAGAAACAAAAACCTGCTCCTGTGGCTCATGGAAGTCTGATTGGGTCCTCTTGTTTGTGCAACTAAAAGGAGTTATTAATTTCCCCCCTGCCCTGAAGTGCCTGCCTGGGAAGCTCTGGGCACAGTGTTTCCAAACCAGATTGGAAATAAATCTGCAGGCCTGTGCCCTGCAGTCAACAAAACCCCATTGAGCCCAGAGAATGGAGCGAATCAGCTACTTGTCCTCTGACCCCAGAGCAGGCACCCAGGGTCATGGCTGCTCTGAGAAGTCCCTGGTACAGGCTGCTTTGGAAGTATTTTCCTGGCTGGTTACTGGTCTCCCTCCCGTGTGTCTTTAGCTCTGTCCCTTGGGCTGGCATCTGCGTAGCCCAGAGCTACATGGACAGAGCTGTAAGTCTGGATGCTGGTGCCGGCACTGAAGACCAGCCAGCCCTGTTGCGCAGCCTGGGCGAGCTCCCGGCTCCTCCAGCCGCTTTCGCATCGACAAGAGGGGAATAGTAGCGGGAACCCTCTACGGGGTTCTGCGAGGAGGATATGAAATTAAGGATGTACAGCCTGGCACGCTGCCTGGCACGTGTGGTATCCCCAGTAAAAAGTAGCGGTTCCTGTTCTCCTTGGTGGAAATGTCCTGCCCGCTTAGCCTCGCGAGTTTATTCGCATTCACTTGGTAGACGCTGTCCGAATGCGGGTCCTTTGCTAGTTTTCAAGACCAGGCCAGGGAAGGAAGTGGTGCAGACTTCCTCACCACTGCCCTGGGGGAGAAGGCAAAGATGATTGGAGGTCCTGCTTCATGCAGCCCCCTTTTCAAGTGCTCCTGGCTCGGCTCTTCTAATGTCCTCCTTTGCCCGAAGAACCTCCTCTGCCCGGGGCTGGGCTGGGCCTCCCTCCTCCCTGCCCCTCTCTGGCTCCGCTCTGCCCCCCGCATAACCCACATTCGGCTGGGTGTTGAAGTGCCTGTGTGCCAGCCCCGCAAAGCTCTAAGCTTACACAACGTTGGGGGCACCTCTGGCTACACCTGCTCGTTCATCCTCCAGGCTAGAGAGACAGAGGGTAGCACAGGAACTGGAGAAAAGGCTGGATTGGGGTCATGTTCTCAGTCACTCCTTCCTGTGTCCCCTTGTTAGGGCTTGTGGTCCCCCTCCCCTCCCCATGGGTGCTTGGGATGGGTGGAGAGGGCTCTGATGTGGCCCCTCCCAGGGGAGAGGAGCAAACAGAACATGAGACTCCTGCGGTCCAGGTTCTGCCCGTCCTCAGCTGCTTCCCCCAGCCAGCCCTCCCCGCCCCCGCCCCCTTGCATTCTGACCTCCCCATCCTGGCCATGCTCCCCTGTGTCCAGGGGACACAGTGGCTTATACCGAGGTAGCTGTCTTGGGACATATACCTGAGGTCCCATAATGGCATCTCCTGCCGTTCCCAAGGCCACACATCTTTCCTCTGCTCCTAGCCCTGTGCCGTCTCCCTGGTCACTGTTTAGCCACCACTCTTGTGTGACCATCTCCACGACAAGGCAGGAGCCAGCCCTTCAGCCCTGAGGTGACACGTTTGTGTTCAGCATTCAGGGCCCAGGAGAAGGTAGAAGATGGGTAGTAGCTGCTGGGGCCCCGGGCTTTAGTTGTCTTGTTCCCATCTGCATGGTTAGTGGAATTATCCCCATTTTACAGAGCAGATAGCTGAGAATCAGAGAGGGAAAGTATTGTGTTCAAGTCATACAGATCAGCACCCCAACCCTGTGGCCTGACCTGTTCTCAATGGGACCTCTCTGGTCTGCATTTGTGGGTCCTCTGAGAAGCCTATGCTCACAGCATAGTGGGGTTTGGAGAGGTGGGGTCCTGTGGTGAGGGGTTTAAGTGGGGACAGTAGACAGAAACTTCTTGTTTTATCAGAATTTCTAAGGAGGGGCCAAAGGAACAGACTCCCTGCTTCTTTTTGCCCCGCCCCCACCCTCTGAGACAGGTGCTAACAGCAAAAGGGAGGGAGCCTCTCAGGGTAGCCCACTGTGTGCCAGGCGCTGCCCTTGGGTGTGGAGGTGGGGACATTGTTCCACCTCACACAGGTGAGGGCACCGAGGCTCTGAGAAGCCAACTCACATGGTCAGGGTCACACAGCTAGAAAGGTTGGGGGCCAAGCCTTGGGCCACCACCATGAGAGCCACATTCTTTCCATCGGAGCAGCTACCCTCCTGCATCACCTGCGAAATGTAGAAAAAAGCAGCAGAAGGACCCAGCCCAGCCTCGAAGAATCGATAGGTTATATATTTCCATCTGGTAAAGAAATCCGTTGAGGTCACTCCTTGGATGGGATTAGGATCCA